GCCGTGGGCGTAGCAGTTCCCCGTTTTTTATTTTTAAATTGTAACTCAAAGACTTCTTGCTTCACTTAAGCTGCCTGCTCCTAAGCCTGGTGCCCTGAGTTCAGTTCCTGGGGCTCACAGGAGGAAGGAAGGAGACACTGGAGAGCTGACTCCTGTCTGCTGTCCTCCGACCGGCACACATGTACAATGGCACATGTGAGCCCTCACTGGATGAATACACACATTTAACATGTATATAGCTGCCACACCTGCCACGGACCGCCTCTCGTGGAGACCACCGACCGAGGGAGAACAAGGGAGAAGGCTCAAGGAGAAATCAGGAATCCGAGAGGAAATGACAGACAGACACACTCAATGTAGTTGAATATGCTGCTGCAACTTTACTTTACCTCAAGTAGTGCTTATATACTATTACAATCAGGGAACTTGGCAAGGGGGCTACATCACCAGGTCATAAAACAGAAAGTTAAAGAATAGCATTGTTTATAGATGATCTATTCTAAGCATCAGATTGCGGTCATTGCCCAAGGACATGATCTAAGAGTTCTCTAAAATCTGTCTCACACCACCAACCACGTCTCTATCCATTTCCTGATTCTCAGGACCTAGATATCTTTAGGTCCCAGGGTCTAAGTCTCCTGTAAAATAAGCCTCATAAAATTCTTCTACATCATGAAATCTATCAAATTCTTTCCATAAAGTCACCCAGTATTTTAATGCTGGCTTCATGTTTTCTAATACTTCTTTTCTTTCTTCTTTATCCAATGTACACCAGGGCTTTCTAGACCTAGCTAATCTTTCCAGGAAAGGCAAGTCTTGGCAAGGGGGCTACATCACCAGATCATAAAACAGAAAGAAAAAGAACAGCATAATTGTTTATAGATAATCTATTCTAAGCATCAGATTGTGGTCATTGCCCAAGGACATGATCTAAGAGTTCTCCAAAATCTGTCTCATACCATCAAGCACGTCTCTACCCATTTCCTGATTCTCAGGACCTAGATATCTTTAGGTCCTAGAGTCTAAGTCTCCTGTAAAATAAGCCTCATAAAATTCTTCTACATCACGAAATCTATCAAATTCTTTCCATGGAGTCACCCCAAGTAATTCCTTTTGCTCAATAGCATCGAGGAATTGTTCCAAGGATGACCCCTTATTCCCTGAACTGGCCATTTCAGCAATGGCTCTGATAAACGGTGGGGCAGAGTTCAGCATGTTCTCAGATGTTCCAAGACACAAGAAATACACAGAACAAAAAGACAAGGAAGCAGAGGCTGCAGTGTCACCAAGGACAGCGGCTTCGAGTTGGCTCATTGGGCATCATGATTGCAGCTGATTGCCCGGGAACTGCCTGGGGCTCATCTCCAGGGAGCGCAGACCCCAACCCATCGGCCTTAGCCCACCTTAGTGGCATCTTCTGCTACACCGGCGTAACCGCCGTGGGCGTAGCAGTTCCCCGTTTTTTATTTTTAAATTGCAACTGAAAGACTTCTTGCTTCACTTGGGCCACAGAGCTGAAAAGACATTTCAAGAGACATGGAAATAAGAATACAACCAAAAGGACCAGTAGCAAAACTACGCCAATGAAAACAAAATATTGCATCAAATCCCATGGATTGAGAGCTTTTATTCCTTGTTGTATTTCTGTGGCCAAATCCTGTAACCCTCCAAGCTGCAAATGTGCCTGACTCATAGCAGATCTATCTTTCTGTAGGGCTCCTAAATCATGTGCAATATCTTTATCTAGCCAGACTCCTTGTAAATGAGCCCTCACCTTATCCCATGACTGAGACTGATTATAAGGTAGAGGTGTCATGCAGATTGATCTAAATCCACTATGACAACACATGGAGAGGGTGGTCTTTAAATTTGAGATATCCTGTCCAAGGGCAAGGACAACCTCCTCTAATACATTTATTTTTGCTTCTAGCTTAGTATCAATAGCTGCTTGCTCCATCAAAGCAGAAGTTATATTTCGATTCAATGCATTCACATAATGAGCTGTATGAATTTCCTGTACTAAAGCCGTGGTAGCCACAGCGAAAGTAGTGAGTATCGAAATTAATGCTGAGATACCCAAGATAAGTGCAGCCACAAACCTCTATGGTCGAACCAAGTCCTTCAAAGTATCTAGCACCTGTAGTGCTGAGTTATCATACCAAGGATCATCTTTTAGATCCACTGGCAGCATAACAAATGGAGGCCTGCGTACAATAAGCATGGTACCCAAATTCTTAGATTCTGCTGAAGTAATACAATTTGTCAATTTACAAGAATGACAAGTAATTTGATATGAATTTCCAATCAAAGAAATATCAACAAAAGCAAATTGAGCTAACAACAGAGCGTTAGGATAAGATACACAAGCACGCAACCCAATGGCATCCGGCCGAGTATGATTAGGTCTTTTTTTAAAAAACATGTTAGCGGCAGCAACAAGTCTAAATAAATCTGTATGTTTTTGGTTGTATTTCCTTCAACTGT